GATATGCTTTTAATCATACCTATTATTCTATGGATTTTTTTTCCTACTATCCTATGCCTGCCACTTTTTCACTCACTGCATTTTAAAGAGTAAGACAAATTCCAGTGTGTTTCCTCATCTGGAGAAATTTAAATATCTATTAAAAGAAATAATTTATGTCAGTCAGGATTAATTTTTCCCTACTAATTTTAAAATCATTGCTTTTGCAATGTCAGGCTAAAGCTTATAACCAATTCATTTAAAAATACTTGTGCTGGGGACAGCTTTTCTGAATTTTACATAACTGAATACAAGTGAAAACCAAAATGAAACAAGTACAAAACTTTGGCTGCATCAACCTTTCCACTGACTTCATGGAGACCAGCTCTGCTTAACCTGTAATTCACTGCTGGAGCATTAAGGGATAAGTGCATAATTTAATTGACAGTTTTCTTCCAGTGACATAAAATCCATGTAAATTCCAAAGCAAATAATTTCATCATTAAAAGGGAAATTATGGATCTCTTTATTCATGTCACTTTTAACTTTGAAAATGCTTTTTACTCTCCTACAAGGAAAGGCTAAGAGAACTGGGATTGTTCACCCTGGAGAAGAGTAACCTAATTGCAGCCTTTCAGTACCTAAAGTGAGCCTGCAAGAAAGATGGAGAAAGACTTTTTACAAGGACATATAGTGATAGGACAAGGGGAAGTAGCTTCAACCTGAAGAGAGTAGTTTTAGATTAAACAGGAAAAACATCTTTACTGTGAGGGTGGTGATGTACTGTAACAAATTGCAGAGAGAAATTGCGAATGCCCTACCCCTGGAAGTGTTCATAGTCAGGTTGGATGGGGCTTTGAGCAAACTGGTCTGGTAGCAGATTCCTTGCCCATTGAAACCAGAAGATCTTTAAGGTCCCTCCCAACCCAAGCCATTCTGTTATCCTATGATTCTCTGATAAAATACGTAAATTGGCCAAAGTTAGGAATATAGATTCTCAGACAGCTTGGAAGCCTAAAAATACATTTTCAAAACTACAAGCAACAAACGTTGCTTGCACCAAAGAACAAACCCTGCTCATGCAGTTAGAAACATGGCTCCAAAGGTCTGTACGCCTAGGGCTCACATTACGGCTGAGATAAGCCACTAAGCTGTGTTTTCAATTTTGTATTTGAACTTCTGCTGCCCCTAGAGTAATAACTTCAGTGAAGCCTCAGATGTGACTTTCAATATAACCCAGCATTTTTAAATCTGCAAAGGTGTTGAAGAGGATCTAAATTTGAGGGGCTTGTACACTTAGAAAATCAGCTCAAGAAATTACTAAAGCAACACTTTTACCTTTTGTGATGGGAAGAAAGCAACTTATTAGGTGTTCAGAACACTGCATAAGTTGAATTTTAAAAAGTGGATTTTTCTAAACAACCATCTGCTCAGCTGCCCATTATACTGACAGCAGCAATCACATGAGGAGCCTGGTTTCCATGTATGAAAACAAAGAATGAACATGATTGTGCAGCAATTTTTTTTGTTAGCATTTGAGTTCCCAAGTGTGCAGGTAATGATACTACAATATTATATACCTGCATCTTTGGTCAGTTACTGAAATTTTGTCTGTGAAGTCCAAAAATTATTTCAGGAAAACATAAACTGCACTGGGGAATATGAATTTGCTCGGAGGGTTTTATTCCATTGTATGGAAAGCACTGTCTATTGGTTCAGTCAGTTTATTTGAAAACTCCAGCTATTCTGCAGAGTGGAAAATTACGTGATTACTGATGCATGCAGTAACTCCCATGTACTTCCAGCTGCCAGCTCCTGCCAAGGAGCAGAGGGGCTGTAGTCCCTTTTCCACCTGAGGCACACCTTGGAACAGGAAAAATGTTTTCCTGGACAGCTTCTTATTGACTCTGGAAGTACCATTCTTGCAGGCAAATTCTTATGTGCCTCCTGCATCTTACAGTTCTCTGTGCTAAAGCTTCCTTGAACCAGCTGCATGGTTCTGTCACACCTACTGCCATGGCTGGGGACACTGTGTTCCCTCTCCACTCCCCTTCACTTTTGCTCATCTCTGTCATTTGATTTTTTTCAAAAGCTCTTTATATACTTTTGCTTAACTTTCTGCACTTCACTGAGTATCCTAATCCAGTAATGTCTGCTGAGAATATGGTATCCTGCCTGATCATTCATGAGTCAGTTTCTATACTGGAAAATACCATTTATGACATTTTCTTCAATAATTTTATTAAGGTATTTTCTAAATAATTTTAAAACCTCCTGAATTATCTGCAGTCATTTCCCTCATCTCTCAACAAAATCAGTCATGGATAACCCAAACCACAACTCCCACATCTGGTTTCTTTCCTCTATGAATTCTTCTCAACTTATAAATCACATGACTCCAGAAGTGATGCTGAAAATGAAATGTGAAGTCACCTGGTAACTTTTTTAAGTTTTTATATAATTTTTGTTCTTTGTGCTTGGCTTCATACAAGTCCATGTCTCCATACAGAATCTCATGTTGCCCATATTTGTTTCAAACATTAATTAATTAAATAATAACATTTTCTCTCAAGATCACAGTTTGGTTCAAAGATAATTAATTCTGCTTCTAAGCTGTTTTTTATTAAAAAAATAAAATAAAAAAATAGACAAACCTTTAGATACAATTTAATAATTTTAGCTATTCCATAGTAGCAGAAAGCCTCACGAACTCATGTATTCATCTTTAGAAATAGATCTACAAGTGCTAGTCCTAAGGAACTGATAGACAAGAGCAGTAAACTTTGCAAGGACATGGTAATTGGTAAGTGGAAATGTAGGGTCTACCCCTGAAATGAACAAATCTCTATATCCCCTCACTCCACCCCTAGGCCTTAGTGTTTGAATATTTTTGGCAAGTATTACTTGAAAATGTTTCCCTATACTGCCCTAACGGTATGCAATAACTACAAACACTTGTTTTAATACAGCCTCCCCAGAGAGTGCATTTTCTAACACCCTCTCCTTTTAAGAGCTCTCCCCAGACATGAGGCAAGAACTGTCTCAAAAAATAGTAACTGCTCGTGAAGCTGCCAGCAAGATAAGATGAGCACTGGTTTTAATTTTCACTGTTAACTGTGCTCTCATTGGAACACATAAAGGTCTTTGACAGCAAGCTTCCAGTTCTCTTATCCTGCTTTAAAGTGTTTTCAGGGATGCATTATCCCACTTGTTTGCTAAATGCATTTTTCCTCCCCCGATATGTGACTAGTGAGAAAAGAATCTGGAAAGGAAATGCCTTGTTCCCCAACCAGTGCTCTGTTGGCTGTCACTAGCAGGAACAGCACTGGCTAAAGCTAAGGCTTACCAAGATGAAAACATAAATTGTTTTTACAAGATTACTGAGCTAGTGCAGCTGGAAATGCTCTTTAGCATTAGGCAGCTGTCCTTTGACAATATTGCCAAGAGAGACATTGTCGGATGTATTTAATATTTGGCAATCATGGCTGAACTACCAGGATTGTAACCCTGTCAGCATTTACAGATTCAGCTCTATTTGAAGTCAGAGGTGGCATTCTTACACTTTAAAAACTCTGATTATTCACCAAGATGAAGCTAAGTAACCTGTATGGTGAGCAGCCACGTTTCTTCTTTGTAATTCTCTTCAGATACAGAAGACTTGGTGGTATAAAATCTCCTTGGCAGGCAGTGAGTAGCCTCATTTTACTCTATGCACCATGTCATCGACACTTCACGCATTCCTGCATGAAGGAACCCTTGCTTTTCATGTCTGCAAGCCAGAGCAGTAACTGTACATGTTTCCTATGCTTAAAATCTTCCCAGTTCAAATTACAAAAGCCTTCCAAAAAGCCTGGAAGTCAGTTTTTGGTATGATGCAGCATTCTCTTCTGAGATTGCTGTACCAGTTGGAGCCATCGGTACTGATCAGAAAAGGCTAGAATTTTGCTTTCCCTGTGTCTTGGTGTGTCAGCACCACTTGGTGGTGTCTAAAGGGAGCACATGCATGATGCCATCTGGCTGGATTTCCTAAATACTTCTGAATAACAACCCTGCATAACCTTGGCTCCAAGTAGAGTGGTCTTATAAAAATCTGTTTGGGAAGAGTTACACTTTTGCTTAAACATCAGGGAGTCTGCACATGAGAATACAAGCCCAGAAGTGCATTCCTCTATCCTCTGCAAAGACAGACAGATGTTGGCAACAAGTGAGGAAATGGTAGCAGATATTGAAGCTGGGGATATGAAGAAATCCTGTGCAACTGGAAAGCCTTGTAACTTTCTCACCATTTTGACTGTCCTAAACTGGCATATCCCCTGCCCCTGCAGAGCTGAGTGCTAATGAGTGTTACTGTGTGCCATTAGCACTGTCTTAATGCCAGCAGGCTGGGATATAAAGGAAAAATACATACACAGAAGCAAGATCAGAGTGGCTGATGCTGAGTCACAGTAAAGCTCAGCAACACTGAAATGCTGTCAACCTGGGAAGAAATTCTTGGAGTTTTTACTAAATTCAAGGTTTTGTTCTTGCATGAAGCCAGCTAAGAAAAGGTAATTTACTATCTTGCAGGAAATGCATGCATAGAGTCAAACCTGGGACAGAAGGAAAAAAGGCACCAGTCTGGAGCCAAATCAGCATGTTCAGTTAAGTTTTCCTATATGTGAAGCAGAGGGAAAGCAGTCTGATAACCATCTACTGTTGCAGCTGGCAGGTTCATTAAAACTAACTTTCATTCTACAAAGGGAAACAGAGCCACTGTTTGGTGACTAGCATACTGGATTATTTTTGCCTCTAGCTTTGCACACAGAATCAACTGAAGTGTGGGAAAAAACCTGAATACGGGAAAACAAGCTAATACTGTCAGCACAGAATAAAATGATGCAGTGATGGCAATAACAGAACTTTTTCTTAGAGAGAAGATATTTATGAAAAAATGTAATTTCCTATCTCAGTAAAAGCAAGTTAGTCTGCAGAAAGATTGTGTGAACTTCCCAGCTCTCAATTATATATTCACACATTTGTAAAGTTCCAGAAACACTTTATTTAAAAATGGAGTTGTAAATGCATATAACAAAATAACATACATAATAAATGTAACAAAAATAAATAAAGAGAACATGTCCATACAAAATAATAACATAGTAATGCAAAATGCTTATTTCACAACATAAAGGTAAAAACGCCTGAAATAACACAAACAGAATCTCGTATGAAGAGCCTGCACCTTTAATCCTTCCTAGCCGTTTCCTACCTTCCACTTGAATCTGCAGAAAAATTATGTTCCCAAGCATTAAACAAAAGAAGGAATTATGGTGATGGTTTGGTACACTCAGTTTTCCACACCTAGCTCTAGTTTCCATTTATTTTTGCCCTTCTGCACCTTCAAAAATTTTTCCTGTAGCCTCTGTAAACTAGTGTCATTCAGGATCCCACAGTTAGCTGGAGTAGAGCATATTGAGTCATACATAAAGACTGTTTGCTTTTAAATTTTTTTAAAGAAAATATGAAATCCATTATACAACAGATTAGTGGTTTTGTTTTTACATCTCTACAAAAAAAGTTTTTGCATCTTTATTAACTGGTCCAACTTCTACTGATTTCTGAAAGCCTGTACAATTCAAAAGCGTACAGAAAGTAGGTTTTTTAAAAACAAATCTCATATAGAATTATTGCTGAAATATTAAAGACCATTTCATAAAAGCTGCAAAACTGTATCTTTAACCTTAATATATAGAGAGTGATGCAAACATAAGAAAATTCCAGTCTATTAGTTACATTTAACAGAAAAAACATTCCTCCAAATTACAGTGTTCTGGAAATACAAAGTAATTTACTTTAATTTTTTTTATTATTTCCAAATGTTAAGTTACTGGGACAACTGATAAAGAAAATAGGCTTATATAGGAAACTTTAAATAGACTTGCTTTTCAGTGGTATAAGCAAAATGTCCATGTTAGCAGTCGTCTAGAATCCTTTTTAAATATGTAAGACAGGGACAGCATTACTAGCAAGACTACAGGAAAATATACAGAAGCAAATAAAATCATTTGCTTGGGAGTGCATCTATCAATCAAGCAAATCATGACAACTCTATTTCCAAGTTCCCTAAAGAAAATTTTACATCTCATGATCATTCCAAATAAACAGTAATTTCTTCTGTAAGCTTACGCTGCATTTGGATTGGTGAGAGCCCATTTGCCTCAATATGGTTTAGTATGTCCCACATTGCTATATGCTCAAATTTGTTTCCTAGTTAGTGTCAACAAAGATTTGGACATAAATGAGATATGAAATACTTCTACTTTCATTAACATCAAAAAGACTTTTGAAGATCAAAAAGTGCCGAATAATCTTTTCAGGAAGTGGATCAAAACACTGTAATGATAATACAAGGACAGCATTATCAGTTTTCTATGTACACCAAAACACTGCTTGCTGTTCAACAATATCGGTATGTTCACCTACCACTCCCAGCAAACCTTAGTGCAAACATAATACGTGAAATTATTTGTAAACCCCAAGACAATTTACGCAGTAACAAAGTTACATAAACCACAGAACTGTTTGAGATTTTCCAGTACATGAGAATGAATGCTTTCTGAAATCTATCTTACTTTTGCAGTAATGTGTCATTGTAGTCAAAGATAGTGCTTCCTATATAAATCATCTAATTCAGAATCAAACGTAACTGTCCAACAGTTCTGTACAAGCTTTAGAGGAGGAAGTCTGTTCATCAGAGCAGCTTGGCAAAGAGATTTGGGGCTTTCAGTAAATGTTAGACTGCTTGCATGGCTTTTAAAAAAGAAATAAATCTATTAAGGGAAAACTGCTGATATAATAACTCTTTTGCAAAGCACACAACCACAAAGGGCAAACCTGCCACAATCTGCTTTCCTACACTGGTATCTATGCATATCTTTATGATTTGAAAACAATTTGTGTGACAATCAAAGCATCACAATTAAAGAAAACTGTTTAATAAAACAACAGCTGCTTGACCAAGCCTTTTTTTTTTATAATTATAAAAACAAACATTATAAGTTTTGATTTCTAAACATTCCACATGAAAGGTTTTTGTATCAAACACTGAGATGTCACTCACGAAGGGTGGCATCTTCTTCTTCCCCATCTGGGTTAAACCTATTGAAATGTATGCTGAAATCTGCCTCGGATTCAGCATTTTCCAATTCAGCTGCCACAGGGCCGGTGGCAGGACGTGCAGCCCGAGCCTCGGGCTGGCAGTTTGGCTGTGCTGGTGGGCGAGGGCCCTGGGAAACAGGGCTGGACTTCGGCTTCGGCTGAGCTGGTAAGATGGGGCTAGCAAATCCCAAGTTGCTCAGAGCATCCAGGGTACCGTCAGGGTCAATCATGGCATTAATTGCTAAGCAGTCAAGAAGAGATGAGAAGGACAGAGAAGAAGCCATAAAAAATACAATTTTCTGTTACTATAAAAATATGGAAATCCTTATCTCACACTTTCATTTTTATGATGACAGATAAGTTTTTATGTATGCTGCCCATGACAAAGAAATTATGTATCCAACATCAATGTAAACTGATACATTTATTTAAAAGCAGTTACATATATTAAAACTTTAGATGAAATGAAACTGCACAAACTAAACACAAACTGATGTGTGGACAGGAAACAGAGATGATAAACCATCTACAATTAGGTTATAGCGACTGAACAATGGTTTTAATTCAAGTGGCTTTCCCCCCTGATGTTACCATTATATTATGCTTTGTTCCATCCCACCCCCAGAAAAGAGCCATACTTTCTGATTCTGTGATTGAATAAAATTTGTATAAAAGAGCAGTCATTTATCCACACAGTGAGGGCTAACTGAAGTACCTAGTACCATTTCAATTTATTATACTATTAACATATTTGTCACATTTAACAGAACTGCTCTTTTTTTTATTTCCAGAATTGTACTAACACTCATTAATTTGTCTCTAAAGGTGGTTAATGACTCCCGAAACATTCTTTAGAAAAAATTATTTGCTCTTGGACTATAATTTGAATACTAAAAATAAAAAATATAGGAAAATTATAATTAACATAGTGATGATAAGCATGGACCACTAATCCCATATAAAAATATATGATCACTCTTCTGCTTTTAAAAAAAAAGCCGTGTTTTTTTATCAAGTGCATCAGCAGTTTATATGATAATAATGTATGTAACTGATACTGCGAATATATTTCAGTAAATCACAGTAACTTTGTTTCAGGTTATATATACACACATAGAGATGTCTATTAAAAAGACTGAAGCAAGCAACCACAGAAAAGTGAAAAAAGATCTGTACCTTGCAGCTGCTTCTCAACTCGTTTCAGTTCCTGTAAGATTGATGATATTTCCTAGAAAAGAAACAACCACGTGTCATTATCATAGAATTGGAAGACACTGGAAGAAATACTTAAGCTTCAAGTCCAGCTATCCACCCAGCACGGCCACTGTAACTCTTACACCACTAAACCATCACCCAGTGCCTGATACAGATGCCTCATAAACACCTCCAGGGATGGCGACTCCACCACCCCCCTGGGCAATCTGTTCCAGTACCTGACCACTCTAACAGTGAAAAATAGTTTTCTAATATCTAATCTGAATCTTCTCTATCCCAGCTTAAGGCCATGATGGAAAAATAAAGGGTATTTCCAGTATGGAAAAAGAGATTTAAACTACCTCTCAGAAATTAACAATCTCGCTCCCAATCCTGTCCAATTGCATTATGCTATTTGGACTGTCCCTCCTGGCATCAAGAACATCCCTGCTGGTGGTGGCCCAGCCATGGGTGGCAGTGCTGGAGGCTGGAGAGCCACGTCCCACTCAGAAACCCAGAGCCCTCTGCACCTCTGCATGCGCCTGCTAACATCCCCATGACCTCATTCTGACCCTTGCTCATCTGCCTGTGCCACCTCTGCTCAAGCACAGACCTACAGACACCACAGCTCTGCAGAGATTAGGCAAAGTAACAGCAGACCTTGAAAGGGAAGTTACAGGATGAACTCAGTATTCAATGGAACAGAGTAATTTATAAGGTTGTAGAGATGTGAGTCAGACAGGGAGATGACTGCATCAGGGTTCTGTCTGTACCCATTGGCCCTGTGCCCATGAGCCCCTGCACAGCATCCCAGTGCTGGGGCCTCAACACTCCTCTGCCTTACAGATTTTTCTTCACTGTGTTGCACTGCTTGCTAGCACAGTCACAGCCAGAGCAACAGCAATGCACTCTTAAACATAGCAATCGTTAAATGTAGCACATACTAAGCTGTAGGATCACAGAATATCCTGAGCTGGAAGGGACCCACAAGGATCATCAAGTCAAACTCCTGGCCCTCCACAGGACGCCCCAAGAATGTGCCTGAGAGCATTTTCCAAAGGGTTCTTGAACTCTGGCAGGCTTGGTGCTATGACTACTTCCTTGAGTAATTTCCCTGGTTACAGAATTAGCATATTTATATTAGTACAAATATGTAAATCCTACAATTGAAGGATTCTACACGGAAGAATACTGTTAAACCAGCTGCTGAGAAGAGCTGTCAGTGACAGCTACAGCTGAGAATTTTTAAAGGCACTGATTTCAGAAAACCATTAATCCATTTCAGAAAGCTGTTTTGTACCAAGTAGTGTGATTTTCATGGGTGGCAAAGAGATTGATTATCTTTACAAAGTCATTATCTTTAAGCAGACTTCATGCCTGAGCTGGACATAAATGTTCCAAGGACAAAACAAACTTCACTTAGAACTGTCCTCTCTTAAGTTTCAGTGTTCTGTGGTAAAAAAAGGCACTGCATTTGAACAACACATTTCTCTGAAAACAAAACTGAAACTTGAAAATCAGTGAATAGACAAAAAACCCCTGAACAACCCATAAACTTAGATGTAGTGTGAGATGGTTTAATAGACTGAAAAAAATTCAGTAAAATGGTGAACTTAGGCATAAATATACAACTAACCTTTTTCTTTTTTAAAGAGTGCCTTAAACCCCCATATTTAAGGTATTTAGAATATAAAATACTAAATTTGGATCTTATTCTGGACAGAGGTAAGAGAAACTCCTTACATTATGATATTTATAAAATTAAAACCTTCCATGATGAACTTGCTTAATTAAATTTTTGAAAATCTTAGGAAAAACTAACAGCAAATCTATTAAATTATAATATCAATTTATCATACTGAAGATTGCGCTTGATAAATACATCATTCTGCAGAAATTACAGGCCAAGTCTTTTATACTTCCAGGAAAAATCAATCTGGAGGAGTTTATTAACTGATGATCAGCTAACAGAGAAGTTCTAGCCTGTTCAATGCCAGAGGAAATGTATTCACATTTGAGCAGTTTTCTCTCCCACAAAAAAATCCTGCCTCTGTAAACAGATATTTTTTAACAGCGCGGTCTGCAGACGGATAATGCAGATCGGCTCTGCCTGCTGTCTCATGAGGATGTTTTTCAAACCCTATGCTCTGTGTTCAGAAGCAGAGAAGTGTACTGAGACATAATGTATGGTCTGTCCCCTCACACTGTCACACTGTCTGGTCTTGAAATGGCCTGAATTAGGCCACAAACCATAGCTGATTTATGTAATTAGACTATTACATAAAACAGCTGGAGTTCTAGTGGGCAGTGTTACCACCTCCAGACAAAACAGGATTTTCACTCAGAAGTCCTTTTATCACAATAGATAAAATATGTATAATATGGATTATTTTCATCACGTGCATTAAAACACGATTTCTCTAAGTATTAATAATCAGTATTAATAGTGTTAAGTATTAAATATTAAGTATTAATGATTTGTAGGTAAAGTAGTTTTTAGATTGTGAAACAAGTTCATTCTAAAGCAATCTAACATTCAAACTAATGATTGTTACCTTTTGTTAAACAAACATACTGATGGTCTATGTATACTTTGAATCCCTTTTACTGCATTCTTTATCTGAAAATTTCCACTGAACAATTACTTGTTTCTTAATGAGATAGTAAGTCTTAATAATTATTGAAGATTAGGTTTATTCTTGAAACACACTTAGTGTCTAAATAAGGGCTTTTAAAGATTTTTGCCCTTATGTCACTGCAAATGACACATTGCTCTACTGATTACATAGCCATGAGATAAGCAGCATAATAGTCCCAGAAAAGGTAACTATTCATACCATGCTTGATGTTTTCACAATGGGAACTTCACTTTCAGCTCGTAACTTGTTTTCGATTTCTTCCCAATTTCTGTCTTTGTCCTTAAATAATATTCTAGAAGAAAGGAATCCAACAGCATGTTTAAAATAGAAAAAAAAATTCTGTTTCTATTTGATTTCTATTTCTATTTTATTTTCACAAAATAAACTGAAATATTAAATAACATGATAGGAGAAAACAGCTTAAGGAGTACTTAATGAAAATAAAATATAAAATACTGAAACCTGACAGAATCTAACCATACAGTTTAAATTTCCAGGGAAGCATACAGGCTTTCAGTAAAATCATTATTATTGACATTAAAATGGTAGTTCTGTAGAGAAATACTGGTTTATGGTGTATATACAGACACAGCTGGTTCTTTCCTCCAGCACTGACACATTTTTTTTAAAGCCAGCTATTTTACTGTAGTGAGAAAGTTCCCCATTAATTCTGCATTTTACAATAATAGCAAAACATAAGATAAAGGAATTAAACTTTTACATATTAATAAAAAATGAAACACTTCAGGAAATTTAAAAAATGCATTTCCTAGAAAAAGTTTTCATTGGAAGTCTCCATATGTACATATATGTACATTTTACATATATATCTGTATGTTCTAGCAGTATGAGTATCACTCATATTGAATGCTTAAAGAAGTCACTTCTAATTGTAAAACCCCAAAGCATACTGGGAGATTCCCATTTTTTATGTTTTGCTTCCATACTTGATAAAATTTTTGTTTTCACTGACATATAATAAACGTAATTTAAACTTTCTCCATTGACACAAATGGAAAAGGGGGAAAAAAAAAAAGCAATGTGCACATGTTTAAGGTCTGTGAAGATACAGAGGAGTCCAAATTCAATCGTTCTCTTATTGGTATTTCAGAGTTAAAAGTTAAAAAATAGTTGCAATAAAACTGCTAAGCAAACAAACCACACAATTTCAAATAATGGTCAAAGAGCAGTATATTTAAAAGGAGCTATAACTGTAACTAGGTCTCTGAGGAATTAATTTTAAAGTTGGAAGTTCATGATACAGTGAATGTCACAAAGACTAAGATTTGGAAGAAAGCTGTGAGCTTGAGTACACCATTTCTGTTCACCTTTCTTCAGTTATGTATATCCCATGGGGAATTTCATTCTCCATTATTATTCTGTCAAGAATATCTAATTTTGCAAAATATGTGCCCTGACTTATTTTATCAGTACATAGATGTCTCATCCAGAAGCTGCTTTAACTCTTCTGTATTTGAGGTCTTCACCCCTGCTGCTTTGGAATGTATTTATGTCAGAGGTTTCACTGTGAGGAAGTGCTGCTTTGATGATATAATGTCATGGGATGGAGGCAAGTGACCACTTCTGCCAGACTTGGGTGTATTCACATACAAAGCATACAAGGAGTAAACATTAATACATACATTTTCTTGGGTAAGGAATAAATAAATTAAAAGTAATCAGAACTGCAGTGAAGAAAGCATGAAACATGTTATGGCCTTAATTAGAGTCATCATCTTTTAAAAACATTCATCATCAGAAGTCTGGCTAATTTTTCTTATGTTCCGGAAGGGAGTGAAAAAGCTTGCAAAGCCATGCAACCTGGACACCAGAAATTTCAAATACAATGGAAAATTGCTTGTCATTGAGGAGTTCAAATACACATTAAAAAAAAAAAAAAAAGAAAAAAATAAAGCAGAGACAATGAAGTCCTTTAAGGGATCATAATTTTTAAAAAAAGCAACTTCTGGAAATATTTGATTCAGTATACAGACAATCTTATGCAGCTATGCTTTAATATAATAGCATTTCTATCAGCTTGCAAATCAGCAGAAACATAGAAAATAAGGCTTTATTTAGCAGTAAACAGCACTAGCAAATAAAAAAAAAAGCTATTGTGATATTGTGTGATTTTTCATTTACCTTCTTGCCATGTTATGTTAAAATAATTCTATCCTGATGTGTGCGATTAGTGCCTTTGCTTCTGTATGTGGTATTTTTAGAGCTAATGTTCTTACTTCTCTTTTAAAATTTAAAAGATTCTCATTTCATTGGTCACTTTATTAAAAAAGAACGGAACAAAATGAAAACATTAATTAGAAATTTTGAAACTGTTATCATTTAAACTAAAAAGTGGACGGCCAATTTGTTTTTACTATAAACCAAGGAAGCCTATTTCCTTTCTTTCTTCATCTTTCTGAACACTTCATTTAGCTATTTTTAGTTTCCTGGGGGACATCATCTCTCTCTTTTTTGCTCTTCTTCTTACTAAGCATACTTTTCAAGTTAAAAGAATATATTTATAACTGCCTGTTGCCTTCTTCTCTTGCTTTTCCCTACTTTCTGAGGCAAACCCTGCTTGATTGTGCTCAATCCCCATTTTTCTTTGGGTGCACTTTGCAGGATGCACAGCAAAGAGCAGAGACCAGTAGGCAGTACCTCCGCTTCTGTGATTGCTTTGACAAGATCTTGCCTGACTGAAGAAGCTCTGCCTGCCAACGTGAGACAAGCCAATGGCAATGCACTCACATTGCAAAGCATTGATAAAACTGATCTCACCACAAAACCTACTTATCTTTTCCCTTGGCTATCTCTGAAAACTCCTGTAAACTCATTATAACATGTAAAAGCACAAACACAGGCTAGGTAGAGAATGGATGGAGAGCAGCCCTGGAGAGAAGGGGCTGGGGCTGCTGGTGAATGAGAGGCTGGACATGACCCAGCAATGTGCAGTCACAGCCCAAAAACCCAATTCTATCCTAAGCTGCATCAAATAGAGTGGCCAGCAGGGCAAGGGAGTGGATTCTGCCCCTCCACTCTGCTTTGGTGAGACCCCACCTGCAGTGCTGCATCCAGCCCTGGAGTTCACAAGGTAAGAAGGATACGGACCTGTTGGAATGAGTCAGAGAAGGGCCACAAGGGCTGGGCAGAAATTTTAACTGGCTTAATTCCAGAAAGAGGAATAGCAGCATACCAGTTGGCTGAACTCATGCATTTCAAAACAAAGTTAACATAAAGATCTGTAATAGGTACTAGCTGCCTTATATACTCCCCAAAAAAATGTTAAAACTAGTGCTGTTTTTCTGGTTCAAAATATTAATGAAATTATGAACAACATGGTACTCTAACCCATTCTGAGGAAAAGAAAGTTTTGAATGCAGCCCTGGGAAATATGCTAAATAGTTCCTTATTAATGGAAGTTTACTGCATTTTTATAGAAAAAACAATTCCCCTTTCTTTAAGTATGTATAAAATATGAAATAAGTATGTATAAATACAAGTATTTGTATCATACATTATCACATTATCATTACATTCATTAGTAGCTGACTTGCCTTTTAAGATCAACAAATTAATCAGAAATGTGTAAGACTTGAATTTAACGTTACCTGTTAATTACCAGTAAAAACAACACAGAAAAATCCTTAGAATAGGATAATAAAAATGAGTTACAGGCTTCTAAAGGATTGATTCTTCACTTGGTGATACTCTTCCTACTAGAAATAGCAGGACTAGAAATAGCAGTTAACCTACAGTTATAATCAATTCATTTAGATTATTCTTTTTCGTCTTGCTTTCTATGATCAAATCTTTTTTGGTATTCTCATACCAAAAAAGAGAATACAATCTTCAGCTATGTTAGCATTTTGCTGCTTTTACTGGTTACATCACCCTATACTGACATAAAGTTTTGTTGTTTCATCTGTCACTCAACTAATATTCCAGTATCTGACACTTCTTAAAAAGACCAATCAATTACAGACCTAATATTGTCTCACACTCAGAAAATTATGCATGAAGTTCAGCCAAAAGACTTCCTTACTTTTAATGTTCTCCATTTTTAAGTTATTAACTGCACGGAGACATGAAAAAGAACATATGAAATATACAATCCTGAACTTTGTATTAAGAATTTTCTTTTATTCTCGTCAACCAAAGTGGTCGCCAACTGGTTGTACACTCACATATTCCAGTTAAATGAGCAGTATCAGTAGAGCAACATGCTACCATTTTTGGCATGTCTACACTTTCTCTTAGCTACTATGACATCTTATGAAGAAATCTAACTATTTAAGCAGGAATTTTCCATTAAAAAGGACAGGTGGCTACATCTGTTGTTTTAGAAGTCAATAGGGATCACATTGTCTCCAGAGCAAGCTGTTCTTCTGAAGCATTTACTGAAACAGTTCTCCTCTGTCCCATTTGTTTTTTCTTCCTAAAAATGCAAAATCCCTGCAACAACTTGGAAAACCTACAGGGCCCAATTTTACAATGAATGTTACAATGTTCAACAACACTTCATCTTTTAAGGAAGGGACAGAGGTTGCACAGAGGTTGTGTAGATTTTGCACAGTATTGCATATGTTGGAACAGCTCCTCTGCTGAATGTTCTGTCCATGTAAACTTCCCTGATATTCCTCTTCATATAAAGTGGCATAAACAGAAGTAAATGGAAAAAGTATTCATTCCAAATCCTTCTGAATGCTAAAAATGCCATAGGTAACAGTGCTTTTTTAAAAGACAAGTTTATACTATGTACATTTCCTCTGTGACTATCATACATATCTTTTTTACTGCTGGGAATGTTGATGGGAACAGACATTTTCAGCAATAACAGCAATTTAACAACCCACCTGATTTTGCCAGCTGTTTTGTCTATGGATTGTCTTATCTTGCGAGAAAACTGGAAGACTGAGGACAACAGCAAACTGTCCCCCATAACCTGCAATAAGTTTTTAATAAAAAAGGATATTATTAGTTTAATAGTAAGAAGTCCATATATTTTGGTATCTTTAACTATGAAAAAAATCTTACTTATGTTTTAATTAGTATCATATATAATGATATTTGAACATTTTGCCAATTAAATAATACATAATTTTTCCCAATATTAATGCCACCTGCTAGAGTTAGAGAAAGGATATTGTCTAGAATATTAAGTGGGGAGATCATTGTAAAAGCTTAAACTTGACACATTCTTAGAGAGAATCCTGTTGTGTGCTCACTTCATCTCTGCTCCAAGTCCTTCTGCGGGTAATTGTTGGGGGATCGAGAGCCTCTGTCAGCTGAGGTCTGGCATCACTAGGCCGACCATTCCCTTCCGGGGGTTTCGCATGCACTATTGGAGGGATTTTTCTAAAATTGAGACTTTCATCAAATACTCGGTCCACCAACTGCAGGATAAAAGAAAAATGAAGTTCATGAAATCTACGGGATACATCCAAAAATCAGATTACTGGGGTTTTTTCTCCTGAAACAGTTTATAAGATGCCCATCAAATAACAATCATTCTGTTGTCTTTTATAATATAAAATGATGCATCTCTTATGTAAGAATATCTTGTACAAATTAACAAGATTTGTTTTTTTTTTTAAAATATTAGACATACATGAAAACTTAGAATAACCCACTGAAATTTTGCTTATGGGAAAGTAACATAATAGCTACCTATAAACTGGTACTGAATAATTTATTCCTTTGATTAATGGAACATATCTGTGGAATTAAGAAGAGTACTCCGAGATTTAGAGGTTTTTTCCAAATTAGTCATAGTGCTACAGAAAGACCTATATTACCTAAAGGAGGTACTGCCACCTGCAGTATGTACACAATGCACCGTATTTTTTTGAAGAATAATTATTTAGTAATAAAAAAATTTGGAGTGATGTAATTGGATCTGAGAAAAAAAGCATTTTACTTCTTTGAAGTTTAGCTACAGTCTATGAAAATTAAACCCAAAATCTATGTGAGTGCATTTATAATTTTTCTAAGTACCCAGCTCACAGATTTCTTATTGCTGTTTATATCTTTTTTTCCACAGAAAAAGACAGTATTAAACTAACAACAGTAAGCTAGTGTATGAACCAAAATTTATGCACACAAAAATGAATAAAACACATTTTGAAAAGAATATTATGAAGAAAAAAATGCATTAAACATTTACAACACAGTATTACGGTGAATTGTAACATGGTAGAAAATGATGATTTAAATTCAGATTAATATGTTTACCAGCATTAGACCTGTGATGGTTACTAGAACACGTTAGTCAATATATTTATAGAACAACACATCCAGAGGTAGGCAAAGAAAATAAGAATTATTAGAAGCATAAAGCAAACTTATTTCAAGGCAGTTTTTGACAATGTTACTAAGAAAGAAAATCTAAAGTTAACTGATGGTACCTAAGTATTTCAGTGATCAGAAGATGAAAGTTTATGTCACCTGTGAAAAGAGGGACTTTTTTGTTTTTAATAGCTAAGCAAAGAGTTAAATGTATACATTTAGTTGTGCATACACACTAGTATCTTTAAATGCACTTAGATACCATCCAACAGTATCTAAGGCTACAGAAAAGAGGGAAACAAATAACTATCTTGTCCTATGTTTCGTGGAAAAAAAGAGACAGACAGATAGTATGCATCCTTTTGACAAGCTGTGTTCACAAAATAACTTTTGGGTTGCTTGCTGAAATGCAAAGGAACTTCAAATCAAAAAAAGCAATGTAGAGATCATGCATATGGGTTGAGTGGAAGTAACTAAAAAGGCTATGCAAAATGCTAAAAGCAAAAGAAATAAAGAAAAGGAAGAACCTTATGCATTTCTCCATGAAGATCTCCTACCTCTTCTCTAGTGTCTATGGCAGAGCCAGGGGTGGTGGCAGCAGTGCTTACTGTGGTACTGGGGGCAGTGCCTGATGAAGTCACTGAATCTATCTCTCCTGCTACATCGTTGATTTCCCGTGCGATGAGAGCCAGATCTTGACTGATCCTAGTAATAAAGAGAGTGTTACATTCTCCCCTGCAAATACTTTCGGGCCAATAGAGCCCAATCTGCAGCCTTTGAGGCTGTAAGTTCTAGTTTCTCGTAACCGTGCTATGAAAACGTGCATGCCTTTCTAAACAGAAAGATAATTTGTAGAACCATAAGAGTAATTTTTGACTGAAGCTTTTAATAGCATGCCTTTTGAGAGGATGAAGGTGGAAGGTGATCTCCTAAGACAGAGTATCCTTGTTTTCTTCCTAGGATTCAGACAGATGCATGCAATATGCAGTATCTCTGACAGAGAGGATGCATAGGAAATATGCTGAAAATACTGCACAGATGAGCTGTGTAACGTGGCAGTAAATCTGAAATATTCAGAAAACATTTAATTTGTACCTTAGTTTGCCTACTTGAAAAAAACATTCTCAGGACTTTTGATTTTCAGGCAGCTGAGCACCTCGCTCAGATCAAGCTGCTTATGGGTCTGAAATTCCAGACCAATACCCTAAATCCTCAAATGTAATGAAGACAAGTTTATCAGCCGCAAAAATAGAATATACCTTTAAAAACCTGGATATGATAGAGTTACAAAAATACAGCTGAATTCTCAGCCAAAGATTCTTTCTTTTCTTCTGATTCACTGCATCAAAAAAACAGCTTTGCTCTGGCTTGCTCTGCTAGTGCTACTCCTCCCCAGGACATCCCAAAAGAAGAAAAAAACCCCACAAAGCAAAAGCTAAAAGCCCTTACTAACTATGGCACCCTGAATCTCCAGCTTGGATCACAGAGTTGATCAGAGCAGACTGCCAAGTGATCCCTTTTTTCACACTTCTGCCTGACAGCACTGAAGGCACAGAAGCTGACAGTGCTACTTCTGTGCCACCGAGGACTCAGTGACATGCAAGACCTGCCACTCAAGTGGAAGGCGGTACACAGCCATGTGACAGTGACACACCCTGGGCTCCACACAGATTGTGTTCAAGGTGAGCTTCCTTCTGCTTTTAATTTTCACTTTGTCTTCAAGTCAAAAACAATGGACACCACTGGCCTAGAGATAGCTTAAGACTATGTGAACAGAATTTCAACTAGAAAGGCAAAACACAGCTAGAGAAATTTCCAGCCAAATTCCAACACTGGATTTTGTGGCTAAGCATCAGCAATCTATAATGAAGTGCAACTCTGTGCACCTTAGATACACATAAAATTGGAAGAAGACTGTTGACAAATATGTGGCAACTTAGACATGCCATTAAAAGTCCAATAGTCTTAGTAGTAGGGATATTAAAACAGCTACTTCCTTTGTTTCATACAATCATCTCACTTTTTCCTTAAATAGAGAAGTTGCTACTATTCACATTTGATTTTCTGGGACAAATTCTGATATTTAATGAGTAGCTGTGAAGAAAATAAAACCAAGAGATTTCAATTATCAGCAAATTTTCCAGAAGAGAAATGTCATTAAACACCATAATCAAAAGTAGCATCAATTAACAAAGACTTAACTCTTCACAGAAATCAGCAATGCTTCAATATTACCCAAGCACTTCATGTGAGTTCTTACCAAGAAATCAAAATTGCATAAAGTGTCAGATCTCTATATAAAAATTAATTCCAGTAAATCCCGGAAGTATGAGAATAAACAACTCTAACATCGATGGCAAGTAATTTGGTAGATAATTACCACAGTCAAGTATCAGTCATGTGAACAGAATGTCGAATTATTTTCTATGTGACAGTAAGCTATAGTCCAGTACTCAGTTACATTTCTGTATAGAAACAATATAGAGCACTAAACAAGAAGCATTGTGAAAAAGAAGATTAGAAACCAGCTTTGAGCTGAGCCTAACTTATGAAGTTTTAAAGCAATTCTACATTAACTTTCAGAAACAGAAATTTCTGCTTAAGTATAAGGAGCATGCTTTGTGTAATCAGGGACAAGAGACTTAGGCTTTAGTTGCACACTCTTTACTCTGCTACAACTTGTGGGCTGCCTTGCAGATCTCTATTGCTTCCAGCATCAGACCTAGCAGTCATACAAGTCAAATCAATTCATAGAGGCAAAACCAATAAATGTAAAATTCCCTAAATCCCGCAATCCACTCCAGGAAATACTTTACTAGATTCACTTAGTGAATACTTTAGATTCCCTCAGTGAGCAGACTCAGACAGCTATACAGGGAACACTCAGTTCCCAACACATAAGTAAAGGTGAGAACACAGGGCTTGGGATGGAGAGAGCATGACCTAGAGTCCCAAAAGCCTGGAACTCTGGTTCTTATTTACCTGTAGTCAAAGAATGCCCATTGCTAGAATAAACTACAAGGTAACAGGAATACTTCTAAGATATCTGTAATAGTGCTGAACTACTGGATTGGTAAAAACATTTTTATTCTTAATCTACTATGTAACACTTCACATACTGAGTCAGTGGATTTTGTAACAATACTTTAACATCCTTAAATAAAATATACATTAAGCTCCCGTTATTCCAAGGGTCTGAATTCCCTCCATATCAAAGCGGTCTTAAATCAAATTCAGTTATTCCAGAAATTCTCTCTAAACACCTCTTTCAAATTTTCAATTTTATTAATGTCTGTAAAACATGAAGTCTGTGAAAAGTGCAAACTGGGTCAGTCATGGAGGACCAGTTAGAACACAGTATATATGATGGTTACACAGACAAAATGTTTGCCTCTACACTACTTTCTGCTACACAGGAATATTATGAAAGGTCAACAACAACAACAAAAATAAATCAACTAATTTTAATGAGAGCATATAACAATCTATTAATTTTTTAAAAACTCTAAATGGAGTTGAAGGGACCCTGAACATAGAGGCTGGACTGATGGCTGGGATGGAAAAAATACCAAACAGGGTAGGCAATAGTAGAGCCTATAGTTAGCAAAGAAATAAGCAGAGACAAAAAGTACCTTATAGAGGACAGAAGACAAAATTAAAGCCAGGGGAGCAAAAATGTGAATTACTACAAAGATATGGATACACAGAAAAGGTGCAGACCTACAGCAAGTACTCTCAGCAGATGCTAAAACTGGTACTGGAAGCAGTGACAACAGATGACGGTAACCTGGAATTTCTCAGATGCTAAATGCTACTCCTTTTTTACCTTATAGAAGCTCATTTAATGCAGGTTGTGTGAAATTTCTAGAGAAAGCTAAAAATTTGACAATACTTATTTGAGCCTCTCAGCATTTCCACTGAAAATAAAGCTGAAGAGGTAGGATAAGTACACAGTCTTTAAAACAAATTTTAAATCCAACACATTATTTAGGAAAGGTAAGAATCCCAAGGGAAGAGAAAAACCTGCAAACCTAAGCATCAAATTAGTTTAGACTGAATTATCAATTACTTCCAGTGTCAATCTCTCCTAGGTGAGCAAAACATACCAAAAAGTTTCACTGAAGTAGAGGTTCAGCAGTACTATTTATCAGGAGGAACTAATATGCTATGGCTATCAGTTATTTTTCCCATATAAACACAATCCTTTCTATAACCATTTCTAACTTTAGACTTCAAAAAAGAAAGAGATGTTCAAGGAAGATGATTTTGAAAACTTTATTTCATTATTTATCCAGATACTATGAGACTCCCTTAGGTATCTTCTGTGTGCCTCTCAGGCCTCTACATCTTCCCTTTTCACAGATCACACTAGAAAAACAAATGTCGAAAAATATTACCAAGATCAGGAAACAAAAAAAAAATTGCTCACACTAAGCAAAACACTTCCACAGTACTAAGAAAATACTCCACGCTATTAAAATGAATCTGAAAACATATTTATTGTTTAGGCTTCCCAATTAAGTTCTGCGGAGATCTTTGGAACCTGAACACTGACATCTAAGTATTAAATAATATGTACATGCTTGTGGCAAGCTCTCTGAAGTTTTCACTGCCTGGGTGTTGCATGGAATAATTGGTTACCAGAATGTGCAACAAACTTTTCCTTGGTTCACTTGAAGCAGAATGGTATCAGCAACAACAGAGGTAGTGATATACTAATCTCACGCACTTGCAGAAAAAAAAAAAATTACTTTTTGATGAATAGGCATGACTTAAATCAGAAAGTACCTAACATGAAATAATGTCTTGATAAATCAAAAATTAAAATGAGAACATGGTCTCTAGCTTACATTTCCAAAGCTTACTTTTTTCTCTCTGTCACCTGTGATTGATCTCAAATTTTATCTCAATATGAAAAGGTAGCACAAAATCACATAAATTTCAGCCTCGGGAATTCCTAGTAATGCAACTGAAAGTTCATCTTCTAGGATCTGGCTGTCATAAAATGTTCCACTAAAAAGAGATGTGCTGGTGATGTGACTGTTCTGTCTGCCAATCTCTTAAGATTTTTAAGTTACTCATTCAGTTAGTGAAGGAAAGCAGTAAGTAGTGATACTGAAAATCCATCAGCTCTCTCTGTCCTCTATGTGCACCTGTACAAGTGGTTGGGTACAATGCTGTGCTATTTTGGGGTCACTCCTTTCAAACCAACCTTGCTATCTCTTCCCGGTGGGCAGTCCAGTCACGAATGTAGTCTTCCTGCTCCTTTATCCTGTGCTTGAATGTGTTGCTGCTTTGAGCTGCTGTCCCAGCGCTCTGCAGTCGCGTGGTTTTCAGGGCTGGAGAGGTACGTAGACGGGTATGTTTAGGGGAATTACGGTTTGATCCGAATTCATCTTCTGAGGTGGAAGCATAATCTGTAGGAAAGCGCCTCCATCTTGCACTTACTAAATTAGTTTAATTATTGAAAAAGAATTATTATGGTATCTTTAATAAGAAAAAACAGCATTATTTCAGTAACATCACAAAAAAACACAGCTATTCATTATCCATCCCCAGGTACCTCACAAAAGGTTTATTTACTACATCTTAAAAAGAAAGCTACAGAATTTGTGTTAAATTAAAAATATTGATTAATAAAAACATAAAACTAATGCTCTTTGTACAGTGATGAGTGAAGTAAGATGTAAAAGCCAGTGATTGTACATGAGCTCAAACAAACTTCATTACAAAACAAGGGCCCAATTCATTAACATTTAAGTATATAGTCAGATTGCACTTTTTCTGCAGTTTTTTTCCCCCAAATTACATTCAAGATTTATGTGGTACACAGAAAAAAAAGAGATATGAAGGAAGGACGGAGCTGGCACCAAGCCTGGAATGCATGCTTACATAAGGAAAGCATAAAACTCCTAGATGATGCATAGGGCTTTTCCAACCTTAATGATTCTATGATTATGTGTTTAGTAAAGAAAAAGAGTTTGTAAAATTAATATTATGTCATGAAAATCTGCAGCACATCCATAAGAGAAGCAGCCTCAGAGAAAGAAGTAAATATTCTGACATGCAGCACATAAAGAATTATACAGCCATGTTGCTGAGGACAGCCTGAAGTACAGGAGAACTGAAACTAAGTAGGAGTTTCCTGTCCCCTTATGAATTACTGAAGTCTAGAAAATGGATTTCAGATGTGCTGTCCTCAAGCATTTCCAGCAGGAAGAGATGCCAACAAGTGTAAAGAAATCCCCATCACCACCAACTGCTGAATTGTTGCAGGGGATTGAATACCCCAGATTCATTTACATCCATGAGGCTATGTCAATACTGCAGAAAATGAATTGTGTGTGACCACCTATTGGTGATTGACAAATAATAGACTTGAACGATGTGAATTGCTTTTTAGTATTAAAAAATGCAATAACTAATAATGACTTCTCCTGATACATTAAAAAAACTCCAACATTACAAATGAAGTATACATCAATATGACTTTAAGCAACAAATAATGGAAGTAATTTTTGCATAATGCAAGGATTATGGTATGTAGAATATGATACCGGTATATAAGCTTGCATCCCTTCCCTCATATAAATAATAAAATTTCAATTGCTGAAAACAAAAACATCCTTGTGTAATTTTTTCAGATTTAAATGTGAGTTTTAAATTATATCCATTCTACTTTTTTTTAAATTATTTTTCTAAATTTATTGTAGAAAGTAGCAATGTCTCCCCAATAATTTTCTGATCTCTTTCTGGAGTTTTCAAACTTGTTTGATCTTAGGGAAGTAAAACGTGAGCAGAAAAAGTACATTTTCCCACAAACAGCATGCAAGCAATGTGTGACCAAAGTCCAAAGAGATTTATGAGTTGGGCCCACATTTTTCATCTGTTTTTGTTTAAATTCTTTGTCCCAGTTAAAATTATCTTTTTCCAAATAACTATAAAATGCATCTTAAAATCTCTCAAGTGAGATAGTTCAGCAACTCAGCACTGTACAATGAGCATATGTAATAATATATTTAAAAACTAAAAATTGAATGAGAAGTGAAATATCAGAAACAGATTTGATTTCTAGTACTCTACCACTGTAAGTTTCAACATCATGGTCTGGGTCTGGGAGAAGCTTGGATTTCTCTGTGTACAAAATAGTGTTTTGTCATGTTAATTATATTTAAAACATTCAGATTAGAAGCATTTGCTTAAATAAAATATATTGATGAGATAGTCTTACGTCCTCTTTTCCACCCACACATTTTTAGGAAAAGATTATACTTTCAATCAAAAATACTGAATTTCGCAAAGGCTTAAACATTTCAGAGATACTAACTGAAATGACATCAATAACAATCATTTATAACATTACATAGTATCATAAAACCCCTAATTTTAAGACCATTAAATTTTAAGGCCTTGAAATGTTGGGGTGTTACGTATTATCAATATGTAGCTTTTTAATATGAGGACAAAGTTATTGTAGGCCTAGCAGTAAAAGCCTCCAAGTTGTGTAATTCATGACAAGCATATCCAAGCATGTTTCCCAGTTTGGTAGCTATACATTTGCATATATATGCTTTTAATACTATCTTTAAATTATGCAGGCCCAAAATGACAGTGTAGTTCATATACATTTCTGAAAGCTGTTGTGCAATTGCTTATCTCAGACACCAAAGACTGTGAATATCAGTACCTCTAATAGAAAATCCCCCAAAACCCTGGCTAAAACAATCATCATTCAAACCTACTTTAGTGACTACGCTTTGATAAGCATAATGTCCTGACAACCATTAAGCTGGCAAATTTGGTGATTTGGACAACATACTCTCACTTCAAAGATCTGAGAATAAATTTAATTGAATATATTCCCTAAAAAAAAAGTTATACTCTCATTGAGAACTGACTTCCCAAGCTGCGTCCATTTCCAATCTCCTACTACTAAAATGTAAGTGCTGTTTTTTCTCCACTATCAATTTCTTTTCCACTACAGTTACCTCAACAGATTTGATCAACCTATCTGCCAGCTACTTGCAATGACAGCTAGGTCAGCAAGTAAAACAAAAACACAACTGGCTGCTCAGGGTCTCTGTTCTGACTCAATACTTAATTTTACAGTTACAGCTTAGCACTTTCACATAAGGTCTGATCCTGCCATTTGTTTTTCCAATATACAGCTCCTTCTGTAACATCACCTTAAATTTTCCTCCTTTGCTGTGAAAATAGGTCTTTGGTCTCCTCTGTTTTTATTGATCACAGTCTACTGTTTGATGATACAGTGCCTTGCTCAGACCTTTCATTTCTTGTGCTAAAGTTAATAATTCTGCTTCACGTGCCTTCACAGTGTTGTCAAGTTATCAAGCCTCCTACCACAGAATCACTTGAATGCTGACAGCTCTCATCCAAGATGTTCCATTTATCTGTTTGCCCTTTCATATAAAAGTAAGCAATACTTAACTGCATCAAGGATTAGAAATGATTCTTGAAATTACACACTTGCTGCTAGCTCTGTCATTTTTAACCCTATCATCCACATGAAATACAAGACAATGAAAAAATTCCAGAAATTGCATCTTATTCTTGCTCTTTTTTTACAGGTATATATGTCTGAACATTGATTTGGGAAGTGCAGAAATAACTTTCTCTTTGTAGGCTGCCAATGTTTACTGATCTACAATGTGGTATTGTTAACTACCTCTGATGAGACAACCCATGGAACATATTTAACATTTTGAGAACAGCTAGTAATCCAGTAAAGGAAACAAAACCCCAAACCCAATACTGGTAATAATCATTCATTTTCCAGTCTTTCTATGTCCGGGGAGTGAAGAAAATTCATTCCTGTTATACCTTGATTAAATGTGCCTGAAGTAAAACACATTCAAACAGTTGAGGCACTTTAGTCAAGGACTTCATTAGTACTTTCCAAAAGTGCTAAAATTAATTGAACTGTTGAATATTCTAGAAAGAAAATTAAATCAAGGAATTAAAAGTGGCCTGTATGTAGCTGGAGATGATTTATACAAATACTCCTATATACACTAGAAGATTACACTACTTTTAAAGCAATTCAGATTTTCCTAAAGTATAATCTAAATAAATCAGTAAAAAATTATAGTAAAAATTTTTTAAAATCAGTAAAAACATTACAGTAATGTTACTGATACAGAAAAATTCAGATCTCTAAATGCTAAACAGTAGTAATATTTTTTACTTATATGGTAACAAGACTTAATTGGTTTATTTAGCAATGATTTTGTTTTGAAAGTATCTGACTGCTTCATTAATTGCTTTCAGATTCTGGCCTTTACATTGATAGGCTTCTCCACTGATATATATTAACTGAAAAAGTTTTGTAAGACAGAAACTATTACTAGCGTAGATTTTTCTAACTATGGCGTTTTTAAATTACCTAGATTATTATGCTGGGGTACCCACAAGCAGATGGCATCTTTTCTCTCTTGCAAACTGTTTTATACAAGCTACAGTAAGCTTTGACTGTGTGACGCAGGGAAATAAACATTAGCAAAGACAACCAGTGATAGACTAATAGAGTAAGAACAGAAAGATACACTCACTTCCCTTAACAGAAGCAGCAAACCACCTCAATGCAGCAACCTGGGAATAGTTTAAGAAGCCTGCAATACTTCACATGGACACAAAACTCAAAAATCATATAGAGTTTTGTGAAAAACAAAAGTGGTGTAGTGACAACATCTGGGCTTTACCTTTTCAAAAATCAGCATTATCATAACGTGAACTAGTATTCACTATTAAAATAAACATATGTAAGTCTTAATTGACACTTCCCTTCCCTAGTGTTGCCACCTTTCAGGCTGTATCTTCTATTCAAAATTTTGATTGAAATTGAAAACATGCTGCTCTTCCAATCATATCTTAGAAGGAAAGACAGAATTTTTATTTGAAGTGTCATTTGTTTTGTACCTTTGTACCTTTGTAGACACCTCTCATAATATCAAACAGAATTAACCCTCCAGTTCAGCAAACACCTCATTTGTATCTCAGCAGAAATTTCTATTAGGCTAATGCTAAGAATCCTGACATGGTCCACTTATGATATAAAAGCAACAGAAGGACAGCAGGAGCGTGGGAAATTAAGTATCACAGTGGATTACATCAAGTCTAAATGGGATGTAGCAAAATTTCAGTGCACCACAACACTGGAAGCTATTAATTTTATTCTGAGCCTATGGATTGACTGCAATATGGTAAAGCTACTAGCATGACAATTCTAAAAGGAAGCAGACATTTATTTTAGATACTCATTTCAAAAGGAAGTTCACTTTTTTATAATTACCACGTTTTACTTTGATAGATTTAATATTGCTGTTGAAAAACCCTACCAGCTTTCACACTGCTTGCACTAAGAATGTTAACTTCAAACAGAATAGTAAGTTAAAATTCATAGATTGTAAAGATTTTTCATTCCAAATGTACAACAAGGTGGAGTAACCACCACACCAAAGATCAACATGATCCAGAAATCATGATGGAATCATAAATTGCCACGATTTGGAACACAGAATGGGAAATAATGCAAGACAAGGCAAACCCTTTAAAAGAAATTACTTTATGATATTTAGTTAGGTAATACATAGTTTTTCAATTAATTACTTCAATGTTATTATTCTTATTAAAAATTCCTGATTGCCTGTTTACAATCCTACCTTAAAAATAAATATTATATCTTCTATGTACTAAACAGTGTTGCTGACCTTCTGAACTTCTACTACCATGATTTGAGTGAAGCGATCTTGGCTCTGTTTTTGCACTAAAACAAATGATTGCTGATGCACATGACCATCCCAATTCAAAAGTTCTGTTTTACTGGTTTCAAGATAAAAACATACCAGAGTTAAAGGATTACAATTTCTTGTCTGTATGATCTTAAATGAGAAACCTCCACAAAACCTGCCATAGAAGCAAACCTCTTAGTCCTTCTTACTTTAAAACTGACAAATTTCTTACTTAAAGAAAAAGACTGCATCAACTAGAATTCAACAGTTTCATAAGAGCACTTTCTTAAATAATTTTGTTTTAAAAAAACACATGTGGAAAACATCTAGTATTGTACAAAACTATTTCAAATAATCTCACATACCTGAGGGAGAATTATGAGCCGAAGCCATGGACTTGGACTTCGAATCCGAAAGTCGAGAAATGCTATTGGCTCGAGTTCTAGCAGAAACTTTAGTGCTATCTCCTCCTGAGAGCAACCTTGAGCCACTTCTGATAATAGCTTCTGGGGTGCGTGATGAGGCAGTGCTTCTGGTTATTGTTGCTTCAGAATCACTACGTGCTGATAAAGAGCCAAGTCGATTTCTGCGGGGTTGAGCGAGTAAGTCTATTCTGGAAATATTTCTCCTCCCTGATGGAGGTTTTGATGTAGAACTTGTAGTGGACACTTCAGAAGCTACTGAAGCCTTATCGGCATCAGCAAGCTCACTATCTGAGACTTCACCAAGGCGTGCTCTGCGTAAGAGAGAAGTCCTTGTGGGACGAGGTCTTGGAAGAGTGGTAGATTTACTAGACTGCCCAAGTCCAACAGGAGAGGATTTTGATTTAGCTGACTTTCCTTCCATCTTGGAATGTACAAGTTCATCTGCTGAGGCAAAAGGAACTCTTCCGTGTGATTTGCCAGAGTAGGTTTCCTGGTCAGATGACAGGATATCAGAAATGGCAGAATGAGGTACACTGGATGTTTGGTCATCATCTGTTAAATCTACTGATGGTTGTCTCATTCTTCCACTGGATTGCACAGCTTTGCGAGTGTCAGCTCTAGACCCACCATCTGAAGATCGACTCTTAGTTTTCTTTTCCATTTTTTCTCTTGCACTTGTAGAAGATTTTAAAACATCCTTTGAAGGGGAACCAGTGGAACATCTATCTTTATATAAGTTTGTAAAGCTCTTCCGCTTCTGTGTGGATTTTCTTTCAGTGTCACCAGTAACAAGACTGATTGTGCTGGCTGTATCAACATCTGATTCTGGTGATATGGAATTATCTCTGTTATAACTAGGAGTGTCAGGACCTTCATCAGTTTTATTTTCTTCACGCAATTTAGCTTCAAGGAAAGCCATTACAGCTTCTGTGTCTTTTAAAATGAGTGTTGTATCTATACTGGAATCCGTGTCCATTGAATCACTTCTGTCACGTAACCTGCTTGCAGATACTAAAGGGGCAGCAGAACCACTCTGCTTATTGATATGAGGAATAAGTTCTATAGGTATATTTGTGCTAGGCTTATCTATAGTAAAGCTACCTTGCCTCACTAATGGTTTTGAAGACTCCCTTTTTTCTCCTCCAAGTACTTTAGGACTCTGGCCTCTAATGATTTCCTCATTTTTTCTTCTTTTTCCCTCAATCTGTGCCAACTTAATTTCTGCTTTATCTGTAACATGTCCAGGAACATTGTCTTGATTATCCAAAGTTTTGGGTGATACAACAATCTCCTCCCTACCTTTCTCAACCTGGTTTGCAGCAGATTTTGTAGAGGATAATTTTGAGGGTGTCCAGTGACCTTGCTCCTTTCTTTCTTGTTGTTGAATTTTTGCTAAAGCTTGTTTCACCACAGAAGTTTCTCTGCCAGTTTCAACTCTCTCTTTACTAGAAGAGCTGGGAAAAGAGAAAACTTTGTCTCCAGTAGCTTTGGGTGAAAGACCATTCATTGTTCTGCTTGACTTAGCATCTGAGGCACGAGCTGGAGTTTCTTTCTCCTGAAGTTCAGTGTCTTGCTTTTCACCTATTTCTGACCTCTGATGAGATACAGTTTTTGGTTTTAAGTTTTCATTCACTTTCTCCTCTATGGGAAGCTGTGGAAGTGTCCTCCTCTTTCGCTCACCTTGACTAGTCATAGAAGCAGCTGAACCAGCGCTTCTAACAGAAATACCAGACTCACTGATGTCAGTGTCTAAAAATGAAAGAGAAAAAATTATTTGAGAAGACATTCAACAGCAAGGCACATAGAAAGATTAAATGTTTAAGACTGCATAAGGCTAATACAACATAAAACAGAACTGAAAAAGCCATCAGTCCATCCTGCTGTTTTATGGCAAGATTAAGTATATTTACACAAGTAGAAAAACTCAACAAATTCTATTAGCCGGCTGAATCACATATACAAACAAAGTTTTTATGATCTCACAGTAGGTTAGAATAGGTAAGAAATCACTGTTCTATCAATCAGCACAGCATTACAACAGGAAGTGGAAAGCAAGTCTTAGATTCCTAAATGTCTTTTGGACCAGATTTCAAAACTAACAAAAAGAGTAAGATCCTCTTTCTTCCTCCCCTACTTGCCTGTTCTACAGCTCAATGTCTGTTTCATGGACAGACTACAACCTCTCCCTGTGAGTCCTCACCTCACTCAGTCAAGAATCTGCAATGCTGGGAGACAGTTCTCAGCAATACTGAAAAGCCCCACTCATGAACAAAGAACCTACTATGGCTGAAAAAGTAAAAATAATGTTTTTATCTCAAACAAGACACTGTAGTATAAAAATACACAGAAAACGTATACAAAGCATCAAAAGAATGCAGTACTACTGCTAAAGCACTTTCACTGAATTCTTAGTGTACACAGAATGAATGCTCCTTCGGCAGAAAAGTATGGCCATCCCATGGACTGTTGCAAGGAATAACTGTTTTAGAAACCAAACTTTATTTTTCCACAGTGATGATGACTGTGCCCTCCTTGCCCATTTAGCAAACACAGCAGTTGTGGTGCCAGAAACGAGCCTTTATTACTCAAAGGTGATGTAAGTTGCTCTATGAATTGCTCTGACTTTGAATATTTGGATCGAAAAAATTCTTTTTGCAGTACATTTGTCTGCTGTTGCAATATAGTGTGACACACTTAGTAACACACATCTGTCAACTCCGTTTTTGCCCGGAGAGATCTATAATATAAGCAACTGCTCTGCATACCCTGTTGGGACTTTCCTATCACAGCTTGCCTCCAACTTTGGTTGCTCCAGGAGTCAGAACTGGAGTATAGGGTTTCCCTCTCTGCAAGAATCCTCTAAGCAATTAACTGAATATCAACAATCATGCTGCATGTATATCTGCTACTTTATATTCATGTTCTTCAATTTATCTTTTCTCTTTGCAGTTTCATGCTTTGATGAAAAATTAAACTCAGCTTTCTTTTTCTGTAATCTATGTTAAGACACTGATTTGAGAAACAGTAAGTACCTCTGAAATCTAAACAAGGTTTTCTAATTACAGGACTGTTTTTTTTTCCTTGAAAATTATGAAACAAATTGAAGGTTTAATGAAAATCAGTATGATTGCCTTCTGTGAAGATTGACTTCTCTCCGATGTGCCTACCAAATCAAATATTTTATACATAAACAAGCATGTAACTTGCTTCTTGTTGAATTTCAAACAGTCCTTAGTTAAAAAAAATGGCATGGAGTTGTTCAGCATCATATTTGGCTATATATGAGTTATGTGGAGTTTAAATACTAAGATTTCTAAAGAAGACACAGGCATCTAAGTCAACAAGACACGTTCTGCGAATTGGTTTTTAGATGTACATACCACATTTTATTTTTATTACACCTTTGGTGCTTTAGTGCTTTGGTGCTTTGAAAGCTTTATTTCTCCTTTAGTATTTAAGAATTCTTGCAGTACAGGTATGCACTACACAGTAGTTACTTCACTTTATCTCTTAGTTCTTATAATGGTAAAAAAAGCCTTTACCTCTCCAAAGAAGATCCTAGGTAGTGCCTTATCTGAACACTACAGAAAATAAAAGACCACCAAAGCGCCTGATTAACCACCCAAAGGATCAGTCTCAATAGCAATGATGTTAAGTGTCCTGCATGTACACACACAATCCTTTCAAATCGTGCAAAATTTGCTCTTCATTTCCATTATTCTGTGTGTATCAGTTTAACTTTTCCCCTTTCCATCTCCTTTGACTTTTAGTATCCTAGGCAAAGTTCTATGCTTATGAGAGGAGCAAAAGCTACAACAGGAGCAATGGTCACGGGTAAGAATTCATGCATTGGTACAGATATATGCATTTTGCAACATCAAAAGCAAAACAACTTTGAAACACTTCTCCCAAAGACGATCACAACCTCTAAAGTGAAATTGGCAAGAAGAAAAAAGCAGAAGAGAAGTAAGGCAAGTAACTAGTTTATAGTCAAGACTAGATGTTAAAGAATAAACCATTTCAAAATCAGAAATGTGAATAATTAAACTATGGACAGACATGCCCTGAACATGTGGCACTCACAAGAAAGGGAGAGAAGGTTGTTCATCACTAAGGAGAAAGTTTCTGGGCTTTTCAAGAAATATAAAATGTCTTCTGTATTTCCAAGATAAAGAAGGATGCTATGCTTCAGGTGAAGTCTCTCAGGTTGGATTGTTTAATAATCATTACACTGAAGTCCAATTTAGACTAAGAAAGATGTAAGGAAAGAAACATACTATACAGACCAACCTGAACAGTATTTAAGTGAAAGTTTCTCTAACATTAAACAGTGTATAGACTCTCCAGTTTCAGTAATGTTCAGCGTAATACTAGCACTCAACTGCCATGCAGACACCACTACTGCTGGGCTTGTTTTTACAGTTTCTGCTCAATGAAACAGAATAATTTAATGTGAAAATGAGGCATTAGGAGTAAAAAAGCTGATTAAATACAGTAGATAATAATTCTTTTCTCCCTTTCACAGGTTTTTCAGCATAAATTATGACAATAAGAACAGTTTTTAGTACCATTTTCTAATGGAGCAGGCACAGAGGACTCCAATCTCATGTCATCTTGGTCATGACGTGTGTGATTAGCAGCCAAACTGGCCCACTGTGATACCCAACGTTTACTTCCAGGGTTAGTAGAACCTTCCTATGAAAGAAAAAAAAAGCAGAAGAAAAATTATAACTGTTTGATTAAAAGCATGCCAATTTTCCAGGTTTTTCCTGAATAGATATGTCAGGCATTATTTTCCTGGAAGTTGAAAGAAATAGTTTACCTCAATAAATTTTAGAGTCCCCAGCTCTAGAATAGCAAACAGCAAACAAAACCTATATAGCTGCTGAATCAGTACCAAATAAACAAGTTCCCAGTGCAGTGAACTTTTAAACACCAGAGCCTATATAAAATATATCAGAACATGTGCTAGTTCTAAGGTCAGGTTATTTTCATCCTTAGCTCAGAAGTGCAGGAAAAGTACATGGGGTGTGGGGGTTTGTTAAAAAATTAAAAATGTGATTCGGGAAGACAAGAAAGTGACATTTTACCGGTTTAGATGACCCTCTTGTCCAGATGAAATATTGTATTTACTTCATTAAAGAAAGACTACCTTAAGGACTGAAAGAGTAATAACTTATGATGGGATGGAAAGGAAATGAAGCTCAGATTATTTGTTTGGCCTAAACAGAAAAAGAAGCAAAGATTAGTTTTAACCATCCTACTGGGTAACCACGAAGTCAATGTCAGCAGTATTTTACAAATTTTCGCACCTAAATGAGAAAGGAAATTAATTTGGTTTCTTGATGTCAAGCCTTTTGCAATCTTGAAAACTTTTTAAATGTAAGAAAAGCATAGAATTAAATTATCTTCTTGTATTACTACAGCATTTTTTTTTCAAAACCCGGTTTCTAAATGTTACTGTCTTATCAAATATCTTAAAGCCTCTCCTGCTTACACCTACAAAAAATGTCACCAGCTCTGCTGCATCTTCTAATTTTTATATTTCTATTCAAAATGCTGATTTTTGCCTGATGCCTTAACTACTCTTGGATTCTAGTCTTTGACCAGGAAACAACACTATACATTCTGTAAAATTTATTTAGCAGAACTAGAATGGTGAACAATGTCACCTATTATAAGACAACTTCTTTCAAATTTAAAGTTACTTATACATTTGAAAAGCTTGAATTTATGATCTTGAATTTCTACTAATTAATGCAAATGAGAGCAACATCAGGAATCTCTTCCAGAATATCATGAATGTAGTAAATCAGAGATCCAGCAGGTAACTTGTTTGAACTATTATACAAATTTCCGTATTTTTAATTAAATTTTAGAATCAAAATTTTATAAAACTCAAGTCTAACAACAGCAAAGGAAGGCAATTCAATGTTTTGTTATTTATGGCCATTTCTGAAGACAATGCAGGGTGCCAGTAAGAATATTACAAAAAACACAGAGCATTTATGCACTGAAAACTACCAAACCCCCATTTTTCTTTCCTATCACTAATCTTTCTTTTCCTGTCTGTACTACTGAACTTTTATCTATTAAAACAACTAATTATATCCAGATCTGAACATGATAGATGTCCCAGTCATCTTTGCAACAGAAAATTTCAACTAATTCTCTCTGTACCACCAATTTCAGAGACACAGGTATGTGGCAGAAGTCTAAATTCTACTTCACAATGGAGAAACACACTAAAATTTTGCAGATTAACTGCAGCAAAACAACCTGATAAATTATTTTTCTCTGAATGTAATTACACTGTCAAAAATGGTTTCTACATAGCAGTGAATGTAAATGTGTGCTTTGCCAGCTCTCTGTGTATAAAAGCACAAACAACAACAGAAATACGCAGTTTCTCTTCATAGAAGTTTAAGCATATCCAGAAGGTGTAAGTTTGTGAAACACATACCTAAAGAGTCACATTCAGTTATCCTAATGTTCTTCCTATAATCCATATCAATTTGCAATTTACAGGCTCTCAAGTAAGCAATACTCCAAATTCTTTGGTATTCTCTTGAATACCAAAAGGAATTTCCTTGCCTTTCAGAAAAGCTGAGTTTACCTCTGAGATACCAACTTTTCACCTTCATGTTAAATCGGCTTTCTCTTATGCTTATCACACATAGTCAACAGGAGTAATAAATATTTGGAAAATGTACCAACAGATTTCTGTGGCTTATTATTCAGCCTCAAGATCTAGGGCTTCAGGCTCCATATTTGAAAAAAATCCACAGCACATACACATTACACCTGAAAGCATCTCCAGTTCTTGGCATTTCAGAGCACAGTAATAGTGTGGGGTTTTTTAAAAATAAATTTCAACAGGTGAATAAAATTAATACAAAAAATGAAATGTCTTCTCAGACCTATGATTCCAGTCAGTTGAAGTTACAAGAATCATATTATTTCTTGTCATGAATTGCTGTCTTGAAAGTAGTTCTTCCCTCCTCATTCTACCTGCTTCAGAATCATATGCCTCTGGGGTGATGATCTTTTTACAGATTTCCATACATGACTTATTTACAGACAATGTCTCCAAGTTATTCCTGTAACAACACAGATACCTATCCTAAACATTTCTTTTTCTCTTCTATTATGGTTATACATGAAAACCCAGCAGCTGCACCCAACTCAGCTATTACTTTGCCAGACTAATTGAACAGCACTGATCTGTTCTTGTAAGGTAAATCTCCATTCTCATAACTACTTCAGTAGACTTTGTACCTTCTCTAGACTTGTATCCACCCTTCATGACCAAGAATGGTAACAATTCTAGTACTATTATTACAGGGCCTGTGGTGATAACACTCCCCTTTTCTGCTGATAATTCATTTCCTGGGTTTTCAAGGGTCCTGTTTGCCTTTTTACAACCCTGTAATATTGGTGATACATCAGCCTACATTTCAGTATAGCATCTAATTTCAAACAAAAAGTAAGTTATCAAACTTCAAACTAAATGTTCTACAGGACAGGAAATAACAGTAATTTGAGAGGACAAACAAAAGGAAATACAGCCTCTAAATACTCCACTTTTAAGCAGCAATATAGCAAATATTTACATGAATGAAATGATTCAATATTCAGAATGTCAGTAGTATTATTTATCTGATCTTCAGTGGGAAAGACATAAAGTAGGCATTCAAATCAGCAAAAGGAACATTGTAGTCAATGGCATTGCTGACCCTGCAGATGAAGAACCAGCTCTAACTGAGCTTTAGTCTTACAAAAAAAACCAGTAACAACCCCCCCAAAAAATCAACAAAACCCCAAAGCATATCAAATGCAACATTAATAAAAACATTATTTAAGAACCATGCTTAGCACAGACAACTGACCACTGAAAATTAAATGGAAGTTGGATGGATATATTATAGCCCAAATGCCTGCAGTATTTTTATTAACCGAAATTGTATGGTAAGAACAAATAATAACAACAACAATAATATTATCTTTGTTCTCCATTTACTTAATTTTTGGTCTTTAATCACACTTACCTTGGTTGGCAAGTGGCAGCTTATAATATAGAAAATAAAAACATTTAAGTATTTTAAACAGATGGATTTAGTACTTTCATTGCCTAAATATAATCATTGAAAAGGCAATAATCAGTGCATTCAGGCTCTCCAACTGTGTCAAGACACTCTCTCTGCATTTTATTTCATTTATGAAACACACTACTCCAAAGTATTTAAAAATTGTTGTATCAAAGAAAAAGCTGAGAACTTCATTAACAAGAAAAGCATTTCTAAGCATTTTATTAATGATACTTCAAAAGCCCTGTAAAGCTAAGATACTTAAGTTCAGAATAAGCTTTCAGCTCCCAAAGTGACTCTAGATGACCCTGTCCTGCCTTGGCAGCGGGGCTGGACTGCATGGTCTCCAGAGGTGTCTTCCAACCCTAACTATTCTGCGATTCTGTAAAACTGTTTTTATAAAATCTTTGTAATTTCCCAGGCCATCTTTTTCATCTTCTTGAATAGAAAGATCTTAGATTTTTATTCTTTGCTTTTTCTATGGCAATTGTGTCCTGAATTCACCTCATTCTGCTAATCATGTACAGGAATAACTGATGGATAGCTGGAATAAGGCCCACCCACAATCTGAGTGGATGCAAAACTGAAATACTGAGTTACCCTGATGTTATGTTACTATTTATCCAAGATCCTCAATGAGGTTTATAAACTTAAAATCTGCAGCTCAGTAATGCAGTAAGTCTTCCAAAACCCACAAGAGAAGTTCGTATGAGAACATGACCCACATGCTTTACAAATCCAACACATTTGCCTCTCCCTTTCCTACTGACAAAAACAGAGTGCAAGTTTTTGTAATAAGACTTTAAATGTAACAATCTTCTCTCAGTAGTTATCCTAATGATTTTTCCCATTATTTCCCTATAAAAGACACCTCTCATTTTCTGAACTAGCTTCTCTTCTACATTTCTATCAAACAACTTCTACTTTTAACTTTCTCTAGTAAGCTTTCTTCTACCTTCATCTGTCCTCAACTCTTCTTACACTAATCTTTGCTCTATCCATGCTGCTTATGGCAGTTTTGCTCCTTGACTTACAGAATAATTTTCATTTTTTTCCCTATCATCATGCCTTGTAATATTTTAAATTATGCTAATAACCTATTCTCTCCCACTATATAAAGACCTTTTAATGCAGCAAAGCAGTCACAGTAATACAACAGCATAATTCTTGTAATTTCCACTTAAATGAAAGTGATTTTTAGTATGTCATTGCTAGAAGGTTTCTTGAACCTGCCATATGATTGCAGAAGTAGTCTCAGTCTTCTAAAAACAAAGCCTTTTATTTGCAAAGTTGACACCTGAAAAGCCCAATTATGTTCATAAAATAAACTGTATATTCTTCTTCTGCTTATGGAATTATGAAAGTGAAAAAATATCAGTACTCGTGAAAACTGACAAGGCACAAAATAGCTGAGTGCTGCAAAAGGTATTAAAAAAAAAAGAGAAAAAGAATATGGTTATAGATTTGTGCAAAGAAGCAAGGTGAAAAATCTTCTGCAGGATGTGCCTATGCTGTATGGCAATACTTCACTTGAAGCTGTAGCCTTAGAGAAAATAGTCAAGGTTACTAATCTAGACACAGCGACATACTCAGTGTCTCAAGGCTTCACAGTAGCTAAAATACAACCATGAGAAAATACACCTCTAGGAGAAAGAGATTTGTAGATACTAAAATCAATGTATTTGCAAGGCAGGCACACTAAGTAATACTTTAAGCTCTTGATATCTTCCAAAAAATTGCTTATGTATAAAGTTTGCTAAATTACAGGACCATACTTCAGAAGCAGTTTGCCAAGGGAAGCAGATGTGTTATGTGCTTCATTACTGTTACCAGTTGATTCCCCTCCTGCCTGTTCTGTTCCAGACATATTTCAAACCAGTTTATCCATCACAATGATATCAGAATGCAACCCAAGATTTCAATATGAAATATGATCAATATCTAGCTTGTGTGCATATTCTAAGTAATATATAAAGCCAGGCATTTCCTCTGTTTAATCTTTCACCAACTGATTAAGTCATACTGCATCTGAATCAACCAATGTAAGTGACTTGTCATGAGTGGCACCTCACTGGAGAACTTAAACCAGAAATGTAAAAACCTAAAGTCCTCTGGCTTCAGAGAAAAAATCTGAAAAGTATTATCCACCATTTTTTTCCTAGATGACTTTGTATTATGCATTAAGTGCACATATCTTATTTCTGAATTTTAATATAGTTACTTGCTTTGGGCTATAAAACATAACCAGCTTTACCTTTAACCTCAGTTCTGCTGAAGAACTTACATGAAGTATATACTGTGCAAAGCTATGTTGTTGCAAGGAAACTTCTGCTACAGTTCCAATACACTGGTGTCAGCGCACACAGAAAGGTAGCCAAGTTTTAAAACACCTCCACAATGAATTATGCCTGTCTCTGACAGAGAAGTTTTGATAATGCAATAAAGGCCTAGGAGAAATAAAATACTTATAGATCTGAGTTAATCTTTTCCAGGCAAGATTTTGTCTTCTGTTTAACGCTTACTGGTCCGTTCTTAGTGCTCTCTTTTAGTGGAAGAAAAAAGAAGACCGTCAAAAATTAAATTCTACCTCTGTGTCAAGAAATCCAGTTGTACTCAGTGGTCTTTTTTCTTCCAGCACTACTGTAGCAGAATTTATAGCCCAATCTTTTACTAAATCTTTCTGGTTCTCGTTGATAACAGGCCTATTATAATCCTGGCTGTCATCCACTCCAAATACCTGAAAATGAAACAAACCATTACATTCATTAACCCAATACCATCCTGATACAATGTTCAATGTTAATGGATGGATGGTGGCATGCTGGATAGTGAGTATAAATAGGTTTTATTGTATTATGCTTATCTGTCACCTTAGTGCAATCTACAAATTAAACAGAAAAATCTACAGCAATTAAAAAAGTGAAGGTCTACATCAACATTGTGAAAATTCAAAGAACTGCTAGTTGGAATGGTCAGATATGAAGAAATGACACTTTGATGAAAGGAAAAAAAGATAAAAGCAAAATCATTGCAAAACCCATTTTACCAATTAAGGGAAAAACCCAATAACAAGAATCACCAAATTTTCAGATTTTTGCTATTATCTAATGAGAATAAGAAATTCTAATTCTTGCATTTGTTATTAATATGCTTATTGACTTGTTTCTCTAATATGAACAAAATTTCAGTTTTTCAACTGTTAGAGACTTGGCAGATGTTGAAAGTCCGCCAGGTCTCATGAATCATGTAGACTCATCTCATCCAAGATATGACTTGGCATAGCTCTTTTACTACTCTGTCTCCTAATGACGCTTTTATTAATCTCTTCTGCTTATGCAGAAATAATTTTTCCATGACATTTCAAAAACATTGCTCAGAAAAAAATACTAGAAAAACATTATTACTAAGGCAGTTTAGTAATAAGAACTTTAGCAGAAGAACCACCATACTGTTTGTCAAATTTCTCAGGAGTCATAGAAAACAGGGAATATGAACTGCTTTCAGAATTGATGTATAATCAAAGACATTTTAGAAAATGTCTGTGTCTTGGAAACATGTAATTTAAAAAATTTTCAAATTTCTGCCTAAGAAATAAATACACTACTTTATTACTAGGGACTTAGACATTAAAAAATTACAGAATAAAATGAACCTCCCACACACATTAAAACTGGTCGCCAAAAAGTAACAGTAAACATCAAAAAAATTTTTTTGTCATCTTCATGTATGTTATCCTCCTGTAATAAACACTATTAGTGCAGAATAGGAAGAGGTGTACAGAATTCTTTTTTCTACAAAAGTGTGCCATAATTCAGTTTCGCACAGCAAATCTAGAGGACTGGTTTATTACAATTCTGAACAAGGTTAGTGTCTTCAAAATGGATTCACCACTAGATGGCCACAAACCATAATGTTGTCAGCTTCTGAGAAGCAGACAAAAGATAAAACAATAGGTAAGCACCTTGTCATTCAACCCCTTATGCTCTTCTAACTGTACAGGAGGACCTTGCTACAGCATTACTACATTCAGACCTGAGGAAATTTTCTCAAATGCACTGAATTTGTATTTTTCTCTCATGAGAAAGCCTGTTTTCCTGACATCTTATAATTCAGGCACTGCTTCCCGAATTTTCATTTTATACATAAATCATACCTAGAGTATCTGGATAAAAAGTTGCTTAATAGTATTTACAAAATATTTATTTTCCTTTTATAAAAAGAGAGTGTTAAATTTTTGCTTTCATAATATACTTTTGATTTGTACAGTTGTAGCAATTTTTGAAGATAGAAACCAGTTACCATCCACTGACAGCTTTCTTTGAATATATCACTATTCTGCAGAGATTTCTTTCTTTGTGTACCATAGTTTCATTGATTACAGAATTTTACAAGTTCTTTTAAATGAAACAAAATTCTGGTATTATCACATCAACACCAGAAGGAAAATATGAATTCCACACTTCCATATCTAATTGGGACTACAGCAGCAAATTGCTGCCTGTAAATTGCTTCATTTTATCTGACAGCACATTCATATACCATGTCAAATTTCCTTACTTGTATCAGAAATAACACTTCTTTCAGTCTTACCTTTTCTAGTATTGAACTCATGTTTAAGCAAATTCTGTTATTCTTTTATTACTGAAATTATTGCAAAACCAAATTTGAATATTGCCTATTTTTATTCTGTGAAAGGAGATACGGATATCACTAAAACCGAAACAATAGTGCTCCTAATGCTCTTTCTCTCTATACAGTGGGGACATCAGAAGAGATAAGGAAAATATTTGGGTACAGTATTATTAGAAAGAAAACATCTTCTTCAATAAAAGTATGTTTTTGTACTACAATGTCCTTCTACATTTAATATGTGCATGCACCTGTCCTAAGTTCCACGGCTACACAACTGCAAAGCTCCTCACAAGAAAGAAGAGATGCATATAAGTGTGATGTAGCCGAAAGACTAAATTTCATACTTGTGATATATAAAAACCTCTTGAAAAGATTGTTACTAACACATAGTTAAGAATTTAAATACTAAAACTATTCACAAGATAAAACAACTCAAGTATTTGACAAAATGTAGATCATTACTTACACATCAGTCCCACACCTGCAGAAAAGCAATGCTATCAGAATTCCAGGATTAACCAATCCACATACTTCATTTATCAAATAATGAGGATATGCCCTCACCAGAAACAACCATGGAGTAACCTGAACGTTTCTGCTGGAAATCATCTCTCTACCATCTAGAAAATGCAATTTGTACTTTCTGAGCTGCTACAATATACGTGTGCAAATAGCAGGCTGCTGTGACTGAAGTTTGAATGGACAGAGATTTGTATCTTCCTACAAAGACTAAATTACATTTTTCAAGGCCTCGGTTCTTTAGATGTTTCTGTTCTTTAAATATCTTCATGACTACAAAATCATTTAAGGGAGGTCGAGGAGATAATCAAACCAAGAGAATTCTGAGGAAATGCTGATGACACATATTGCTGCATCTCTCATCTACTTAGACAAAAAGACTGAACTTTACTTCTTTCTGTAAAGCTTGTGTTTGTCAGAAGCAATGAAATGTATTTTGATTAACTGTGTTTTGGGAAAGACAAAGACGAAGCCAGGTTCTGTAACCAATAGAGATTTGGACACATCAAGCTGATTGAAAAATGAGAAGCAAGCTTTTATTTTTGATAAAGGAGGTAAAATAATTCTTTGTATTCTACGTATATGACTAACCATCACAAATCCCACATATCCACCATACAGCTGTCATTGAAAATAAAGTTTCCTAAATAATTTACCCTTTTTAAATAGCACTGTAAACAACAGGGACTTTCACAGTAATCTGGTCTTGCATTTTTTGAGAGAATCTGAGGAATGAGGAGTAATGTAAAAAGAATAAATAAAAATAAAGAACTACTAGAAGTATTTTAAAAACCCAACAATATTAATGCATTTTTTAAACAGCTGTAATTTAAAACTGAAACTACCAGAGAAAGGTATTTCCAAGGTATCACTTTCCTATAAGCAATCATTCCAGAAAGCTGGAAGTATTTGCCCTGCTCTGTCCCACTGTTTATTTTTCTGAAATTATATTTTAGCAGGAAGATTACATTGCTCCATCCTGATTGTTTCAAGTTTCATGAAGTTACAGAACAAAAACTAGAATGAAAATTTTCACAGAAACCCTGAAAGTTGACAGAGAAAAATCTAGACACCCCACCAATCTGCACCATTTCATGCGGTTCTTGCAGGGTCTATGCTACATGTCTGTAATGGTAGAACAGACACAAACATGGTGTAAACTGTGGTGGTTGTGGTGTTTAAAAGTAACTACTTAATTGTTATGAAGCATGAAACAATTTCTATTGCAAATCAGAACATTTTAAGTGGCATGGGAATGACAAAATACTGTAGAAAGTCAAGACCCATCTATGACATATTCTTGACATAATTTTGTTCAACCTGCAATCCAGCTGGCCTCTTAAGCAAATGGATTGAGAGGTGATACAAGAGAGACATTGTCTAACTGGGTAGCTCAGCAGGGGCCATGAAGATGGCCAAGCCTAGAGCATTTTACCCGTGGGGAGAGTCTGTGGAAGCTGGATTTGATCACTTTGGAGATGGGAAGGCTTTGGGGCTGCCTAACAGCAGCCCTGCAATGGGAGGCGTATCAAGATGACAATCAGGCTCTTCACAGTGCTACACACTGCAGGGGGACAAGGGACAATCCATGTAAGATGAGACAGGCTATGAAGAAAAGCTTTTTCACTCTGAGGACAATCAAACAAGCTTGCCTAGTCTGCCCATGTAGGGCATGAAGACCCAAATGAATAAAGTCCTGGGCAACTTAGCTGACTTCAAAGCTTCTTTGAGAAGGGAGTTGGATTAGACATCTACTTTCCTGGTCCTTTCCAGGTTATGTGATTCTATGTTTCATAATAGCAGTGATCCTACATAATAACTTAGCATCTCAGGTCCCCTAGTGCAAAGTGTCGAAAAAGCCCCAAGTATCCCAGAGCAGCAGGGTGTTGCCCTGAAAATTAAGCCTCCTGATAATGTTTTCATAGTTTTAGTTACTTTCCCATGAAAGTCCTGTAAACATAAGTTGTTCATCACATTCCTTCTAAGAAACGTCTTCTGATGGACGTTTGTCATGGCGAGTGTGTCTGGGAAGGTAATAACTTAATTATCCAATCCCTGGTCATTGTTAACAATCTATAAATACTGGAGTCAGAGAATAAAGGCACAGGTTTTTGTTCTGACACTGAGAGCAGTCGTGTGAATCCTTTTGTGTCCTTTAGTGACAGCAGGGAAAAGGCGAGCTCCTGGCACATACTTTTAAATTTCAAAGCAGTTAAGTAAGTCCTCCGAAGATCCCCTATGATAATTCATTTACATTCTGCAGTTCACCCAGTAAAACCAAGGGACAAAACAGCAGGCTAAAACTATAGCAAGTCTCAAAGCACTATCTTGTTATTTCCTGGATTGCAAACTTGCCCTGAAGAAATACAGAAGGAAACTACATAGTAACTATTGGCAAAGCAATTGTAGCTTAATGAGGATATTCACAAATTCCATCCATAGCAGCAACAGTTTTTTCCAATATTCTGAGAATATAACCTTATCTATATTTTCCAGTAATTGTAAAAATTTTTTTTACAAGTATTAACAAAATCTGTCTAACACAATAAAAGCAATATGCAAATCTTGCAAAAGATACTGGGATAC